GGGGCTGAGAGGGGCTCCTCACGCCCCGCCCGTAGACGCCAGTGACTGCGCTTGTCACATAATAACCTGAATCTGACTCATCGGTGCCATTAGTCCAACTTGAAAATTAAAATGTCCTGGTTGATCCTAAAGACATGGAGTTTTAACAAATATGCACTAAAACGACCAAAAACACCAAAATAAGGCCAGGGATAGAGACACACTTCTATTTTAGACTCATTTCCACAGCTCATCAGTAGAAAAAAGTGATTTTGGTTTTAAGTGGTCCTCTAACATCCACATGCACATCCACTTCAGCTCCCTGTCCGCTGCCCGATCCGTTTGCATTTATAGATTTGAGCACGTCCAGTTACAGGCCAGATCTGCGGAAACGTGACCCTGCTCCCAGTTAGAGTGCATGTTTTTCTAATCAGTTTTTGAACAACAACATCTGTAATTATTTAACATGTAGTCATTAACATCCACCCTCGGCTCCCTGTCCACCGCCTGATCTCTTTGTATTTATAATTTTTAGCACGACTCTGCAAAAAAAACCCAGAGAGCTCTCACCGACGTGGAAATGATCCTGATTACAGCACAAAACCGCTGCCTCTCAACCACAGAATGTATAAAGAAGTGGACCAACGGAGTGTGACGTCACCCACAACGTTCAGCTCCAGTCAAATGAAGCTCAACGAGGCGAGCCGTTACAGGAGGGAAGTTGGAGGTGAGTGATTTATGGACAAAATAGCGAAATAAATACACCAGGATCATGTAGAGCGGGTAAATACGAACATTTTCTAACGGGTTAACTATGTGCATTTATATATACAGTCTATACTCTCAACCAATCAGCTCTCCAGATGATTCATATAAATACCCTATTTTCTGGGCTCTGGATTATAAGACACACTGTCATTAAATGGTCTATTTTCGAACTTTTTTTCACAAATAAACCACGTGGGACTTTAAAGGAAACACAACAGTTGGATGGGTGAGTGGTTTTGTTTGTTTGTGGCGTTCACGGTGACTCTGGGCTTTGTTCAGTTGTGGCGTGTAGGGAGGTGCTGTCTGGGACCAACGGATTGTCGACGTGTTCGCAGTGACTCAGTTGTTCAGTTGTGTCTAGAAGTGGCACATTGCACTCGCTTTTTCGGTTCATTACTCCGTTCCGTTCCTCGTCAGCGTGGGGTGATGAGTGTGTCTGTGTGTGTTTTTCGCTGTGCGGTCGCTGTCTGCTCCGTGTGTGTTTGTGGCTTTGTAGTTTACTGAAGTCGTGCTGGGACACCCGAGTGGAGTCGTGTATAAGGCGCTCTGGATTGTGGGGCGTGCAATCGTTTTTTGATGGGGTTAGAAGCTTAAGAGCGCGTCTAATAGCCCGGAAAATACGGTACAGTTTCTCTCCTTTTCTTCTTCCTCCAATGTACCAGCCTTCAACCATAACAACCTTCCTCTTAATTCCACCCCTTATCACTACCATAGACTAAATAACTTTCTCCTAGTAACAAAAAACAAGGTTAAAAAACTATTTCTTCCAATATCACTGATACCGATATTTGAACTGATATATCACCCATAACCACAGACTCTCGCTCCAATTCACTTTGTATTCAAAAACTGTGGTTCCTCTCTCTGGTCTTAAAATGTTCGTATTAACCCGCTCTACATGAGCCTGGTGTTTTTATTTTGCTGTTTTGTCCTTAAATCAATTCCTATTCCAAATAAGGAACTCAGCTGCAAATTCACCCCTATATCGGACATCACCTTTTGGTCTATAAACAGGTGTAATAAGAATATTTATTAGCCAATGTTGGCCCAAAACTTCTTATAATATAAAATTTTTATGTCTACAAATTTTTTTTTTAATTTTTTAACCACACTCTGTTGGTGTTTTAAAGGGAATCAATTCTGCACTGGATTTTTTGTTCATTTTTTTATCCTCTGAGTCTCCCCTCCCTTTGCTCTCCACACTAAGTTACCCCCCCTTCAGAGCGCTATCATAACATAATCAGCGTGCATAGTGCTAATGAAACTACTGCACATTGCATCAGAGTTTGTTTTGTTTCATGCTTTTGTGTATTTATGAAAAATTGGATGACGTGGATTTGTGGGACAGGATTGTACTGCTAAACATGAGGAGGGTTCGAATAGGGAGAGCTCGCTAGATTACTCAAACATGCCTGGATGACACCTAAAGCCTCGTCATTTTGCTCTTAAAACTGTTCGTATTAACCTGCTCCACACGATCCTGGTGTTTTTATTTCACTATTTTGTCCGTAAATAATTTTTTTGTCCAAATATGGAACTCAGCTACAAATTCACTCCTGTAACTGCCAACCTCGATGAGCTTCATTTGACTGGAGCCCACTTCTTTACACAGTCTATACTAGGGCTGAGTATCATTAAGAAGTTGCCGATACAATAAATAAATCGATACGAAGGCCACGATACAATACATATGTCAAGACAGTTACTTTTTGATTCGATACGATATATTTCAAATCAAATAAAAGTCTTTGTTAAACCACTTCTTGTGCAAAGTTCATATGAAACATAAACATTTAATCATCAAAACCATGAAAATGCCAAAAGTGTTGCATAAATAAGTTTCCTTCCTCTAAACAAGCAACAAAACTGTAGCTCTGTAACAAAATAATTTAGTAAAATCACCAAAAAATAGTCTTGCGGATGTATCGATACAGCAGCCCACGATGTCGATACTGTATCCTCACATTAAACAATACGATATATCGATATTTCAACATTTTTGCACACCTCTAGTCGCCATATGCTCACCATAACGACAACCTGTTATCTCTTCAGCCTCTTCTTCACCGCAATAAGACCGGGTAAATAACTTTCTCCTACTTTAAAATGTAACAAAAAACAAGGTTGGTGCTGTAAAGCTTAATTAAAACCATTACAGCCCGACTCCCTCATTTTGTATGTAAAAATCTTTCTAAAATGCGATGCCTGATTTCCAAAAAAATATATATTTGCATAATCACTTACCATTTTCCATAGTAGCAAAAATCAAAATTACTGTCTCATTCCTCAGCTACAGTTGGTGGCTCCATCTACCCAAGGCTAAAAGCAATAATTAATACTAATACACATAATTATGATGCATTAGTCTTATATAACATTTTAACAAGTCATGTGCATTATTTACTCACGACTTACAGCTCGTTTCTGGAGTCACAGCTGCCCCGGGGCAAACAGAGGGAAGTGTGGGTTTATGGACAAGGTTACGTGTCAGTGCTTTGGGGAGACTTTACATGACAACGGTGAGTTCATACTTGAAATCTGAAATGAATCTAAACTGAGACTAAATCCAAAATTAAACCAGGACTAGAACAGGATCAAACTAAGTCTACATTAACACTCAAAATGGGTTAAACTAGGCCCGAAAACAAGCACCTTTTAATTTCCTGGAGACTGGTCCAAAGCTCAACCTTCACAATAACAGAGAGGTCAGATCTGTGGAGCGGTGACCGTGCTCTAAAGTAAGAATGCATGTTTTTCTAGGTATGGCAAATGAGAAATTCAAAAAAGTTTATTTTGGTCGAATACGTCACCAGCACCACCAACATTCTGACCAGAAGTGAAGAAGCTGCTTGGGTGAGAACGTATTTGACCAAAATAAACTTTTGTCCAGTTCACACATTTGAATTTCTCCTTTGCCATGGATTGATTAAGGGGTTTTACACACAGTTTTCTAGGTATTTTTTGAGCAATAACACCTGTAATTGAATAAATGCAAGATAATACCATACTGTGAAATATTCTCTGCAAAGAAACAAGAAGACAGGCTACACCCACCTTCGGAAAATGTACATAGCCCACCTTTAACTTTAAACCATGCCACTGATCTAATATTGAAGGCCAGCAAGGTGCAGTGTCTTGCCCAATGAAATAATGATAGATTTAAATGAGTGTTAAAGATGAAATTGAACCAGCGAGTTTCTGACTGAACTGGGCAAGCTGGTTGAAGTGTCGTGCCCAAGGAAAATTGACAATATAAACCAGTTAAAAGATGGAATTGTACAAGCAACATTTGAGTTTTTGAACAAACTCAGCAAGCTGGGTGAAGTGTATAAACAAAACAACAATATAAACTGGCCAAAGCTGGAATTCAACCGGCACACTTTGAGTTTTGGAGAAAAAAAAGACAATATAATCTAGCTAAAGTTGGAACTGAGTATGTATCTTAGAGTTTTTGGGTGAATACTCTAACCAATGAGCCACAGCTGTCCAAAGATAAAACTGTGCTACAGTATAAACTTTTTTTCTTAAACTTTGAATTAAACTGGCAACCTTTTTGGCTGAACTGGGCAAGTTGCGTGAAGTGTCATGGCGAAGGACACAACAACAATATAGTGGTCAAAGCTGGAACTGAACCAGCAACTGAACTGGCAGCAGTAGCAGGGAACATATTGCGCTTTAACTAAACCACGTCAATTATCTGATACTGAAGACAAGATGGGTGAGGTGTCTTGCCCAAGGAAACAATGTCATCATGAAGTTAAAGATGGAATTACAACGGCGACCTTCGAGTTATTGGAACGATGTGGGCAAGCTGAAATGTCTTGCGCAAGTAAACAATGACAAAATAATTTATCTAATAACCTAGTAATTCAGGGCTGAAATTCGAACCGGCAACCCTTTGATTTAAGGACAAACTGCACTGTGTCTAAAGAAAAATATGACAATACAAATTAGCTAAAGTTGGAACCTTCAGGGTTTTTGGCAATTTTTGAGTTTTTGGGACAGAGTGGGCAAGCTGGAAGAAGTGTCTTGCTCAAGGAAACACTGACAACATAAACTAGTTATATTGCCCAAAAAAACTAGCACTATAAAGTGATCAAAGCTGGAATTGAACCAACAACTGAACTGGCCAAGCTGGATGAAGTGTCTTGCCCAAAGGAACTGGCGATACAAAGTGGGATTGAACCAGCAACCTTTGAGTTTTTGGGTGAACACTGTAACCACTGAGCCGTTACCTTCCAGAGATAACGGCGCTATAGGCTGACGCTCCTGTGATGCTGTTTGACGAAGCTCTCTCTCCGCTCCCTCCTGACGGGTGTGGGCTGCTCCGTGGGGCCCCTGTGCGCCGCCCCCTGGACCCCCCCGGCGGGCCCCCCCTCCACCGCCACAGCAACAGCGGCGGTGGGTGGGAGCAGGGTGCTGAGGGGGCGTCCGCGGGGGGTCCCTCTCCTCTCCCACCCGCCCTCCCCCCGCACGCTGCCGCAGTCGCTCATGTCTCCCAGGTGCTCCACGGAATCGCACTTCTCCAGGTCGGAGGCGATGGTCTGCAGGCTGATGACGGACAGGCGGTCGGAGCCCTCGGGACCGTCGGGACCCCCCTCCTGCTCCCCCTGGCCCCACCCGCTCTGACGGTGACGCTCCACCCACTGCTGCGCCCAGTCGCTGTTGGCTCCTCCCACCTGCAGGACGGAGCAAAGCGTCAACCGTGTAACAATGACCACGTTTACATGATGTTGAATTAATTGTTCTGAATGAAATAGTTCTGACTTCAAATATTCTTCTTTGAGTTTACATGGAAATAATAATTCTGAATTGAGGTTTATATGGAAAACTCGTTAAATCGTCTTTATTTAATTCCGCTCAGCATCAGGGGTTGGGGAAGGTTCTGATTGGACAGAGACACAAACGTATTTATGTCGACCGAAAGAAAACACACACTTCAGCTGCTACCGGCTTTTCTGTCATCTCAGTTTGTCGTTACGCCGCGGACACAAACACGATCCAAACTTTTTCTGCGGTCGTTCTGATGATAATTGTGCAGCAGCTGAAGAATTTTCTCATCAAACTTTACGTCTGTCGGCTGAGGAGGAGAAGGGAAGAGTGTCGGAGAAGGAGGAAGAAGACAAACTGAGTCTGAGGCTGCTCTACCTCAGCCCACTCCCACATCCCGCTCACAAATCCAAAGAGACGTGGATGAAAGTCCGAAGCCAGGACTGGTGGAGCCGGATCGTCCGGATCGCATCAGAAGGACGACCCAACGAGCATGAACTGAACGACCGGAATTATTTTTAAGATGAATAAACGTTTACAAGACTGAGGAATAAATTAATTCTTTAAAATCTGAAAAAAACAAACACCCACTTACTTCGGAATTATGTTTAATTCCAAATCATCATTTTCATTGGGAATTAAGTGTTTACATGGTCTTTTTAAAGCGGAATAAATTTTTATTCAGAATTAAATTATTTTTATTCAGAATTAAAGCTCTCATGTAAACGTGGCAAATGACAGTGAGAAGGTCTAGACATACAAGGTCTAGACCAGTGGTGGTTCTCAAAGGGGGGTTCAGGGACTCCCATGGGTCATTTTATGTATTGTGGGTCCCTTAAAAATTGTGATATCAATGTTTTATTACTTAAACTCACTTACTATAAACTTAAATTACTTAAAGACTACAATTTCTTATAATATACAATGACGGACAGAATTAAACTAAGAAAATTAGGACTATGACAATAATAACATTTGTCCTCTAAAGATGCACTGTGTAATTTGTCTGGTGGAGAGTCCATCACCTGCTTGTTTCCATGGAGATGTGCCTAGAATGTTCCACAGTATGACCATAAACTTATGAATCTCCATGGAAACTTACAAGCCAAATTACAGGTTAAATTTGAGGAGAGGCGACCCCACTCACAGTAAGAAAGGATGTTTTTAAAGATATTTTTGAAAACTTAAACACCTGGAGATAAATAAATACAAGATTTGTTTAATACCATACTCTAAACAATTTAACCAAAGTATTAACATCTCCTTGGAGAGAAAAGTTACCCAGTGCACCTTTAAATCAAGTATTGTTGCATCTAATAATATTTTCTAACAATTACTGAGAGATCTTAAATCAAAAATCATTCTAAAATGCATTGACGCAGACTTTGCTCCCACCTGCACGCTGATGCTCGCCCTGACCTCTGCCTCGGCCCCCACAGGAGAGCTGCGCCCCCCACACATCACGTGGCTCCCCCTGGTGGTGGCTGTGATCCGTCCTCTCTGCGCGTGGATCTGCTCACTGATCTGCTCCAGGTTCCTGAGGGCCACAGAGTAACGCGTCTTCACTTTGGACACCTGCTCCTCCAGATGCACCACTTTCGCCTTGTGCTCCTGGAACAAAGGAAAGGCAATCTGTTTAGGCCTGGAGAGGAAGTGTGGAGTTCATAACATGAGAAATGTTTGTAAAGTTTGTTGAATGTACTTTGCACGATATAGGTACATATGGACATTAAATATTAGGGATGGAACGAGACACAATTTCCGCAAGACAAGATACGAGATTAGGTCCATGAGAACAAAACAAGATGAGAACATAATTCCTAATATATACATTTCACGATTCAGCTTCCAATTTTGGCCTCACATACTCACATACATTACTGTTGTTTTGAATAAGTAAGTAAATAAGTAATTTGTAACTCAGGTCCATGTACCATTCGTTCTTTTGAATTTCAATTAAGAATGAAAAAGAATAAAATGAAAAAACAGTTTGTAATTTCATTATTCCATTTTAGTGTCAAACAAAAAACAGATTTCGACCTCTATTTCCAATATTTAATTATAGTTTATTTCAAATAACGCCAATCAAAAAACAGTCTCGTATCTATTTCAATTTTATATTTTATTCTCTGATTATTTGCTCTGAGAGTTCTGCTCCTCAGAACGCCGCGTGTGAATTCGGTGTCAACTGAACAAAGGAGAGTTTATCGTTGTTTTGCCTGTTTCTTGTCATGGAGTTCAACAATGACTTTCTAAGACCTTAAAGTAAACGTTTTGCTATAAAAGAAAACGACATGTTTGTCCACAAAATTGCAACGATTTTTCAGGTAAGTCCTTCTAACAGCAGAACTTCGGGGGCAAATAAACCAGAGAGAATAAAATATCAAAACTGAAATAGGCACATTGACGATGTTTTTTGATTGGTGTTATTTGAAATAAACTTTAAATTAAATATTGGAAATAGAGGTCGAAATCTGCTTTTTTGTTTAACACTACTGCCGCATAATGTTTTCCCATTTTATTGTTTTTAACTGATGTCATGGAAAATTATCTTTTTAAAATAATAGACAGAAACAAGACTTTATTTAATATCTTTGTAAAGAGAGGCAGAGGACAAGTCTGTTCAATGCAGGGTTGTAACTCTGTCTGAAGTAGCGTCAGACTCACAAAACAAATATAGTAGTGTCTAAAATAAGTATTACCAAAAGAAAAGAAACATTTGCATCTGTGCTGGGTCATGATGCCCCAAAGCATACACAAAGACAGTTACTCCCTAAAATGAGGAGAGCAGCTCTCTTCAAAACAGGATATAAAACACGCAATGAAAATGAATAACTCGACGTAGTAGCAGTAACGGTATTTTCCCATTACACTGAAATTCAAAAGAAAAAGTGGTACATGGACCTGAGTTACATCTCTTATTAAAAACAGCAGCACTATAATGGAAACAAAAATATGAAATCAAATAAATAAAAAAATGTGAGGCCAAAATTGGAAACTGAATCGTGAAATGTATTTATTAGGAATTATGTTATAATCTCATTTTATCTCGTTCTCGTGGACCCAATCTCGTATCTCATCTCATTTTGTGGAAATTGTCTCGTCCCATCCCTAATATTTAATGTCCATATGTATCTATATCGTGCAAAGTAGTAAACGGGGAAAAAAAAATGAATAATGAAATAACAAACCGTTTTCAGATTTTATTGTTTTTTATTCTTCAAAATTCAAAAGAACAAATGGTACACAGACCATCTTACCAACACGTAACCCTTTTTTGTCCAATCCAAAGGCAAACACTGGGAAAAAAAAAGTTCTCGCATGATCTTGTGGCAATTTTGTCTCACGAGATCTGTCGGCATGAGATTTTGCATCATCCTATTTAAATATATGCATCAAACTGTATGGAATTATATAGTAAAGAAGCCAAAAACATTGTCAAAGCAGCCACCCTTTGCTTTGTTCACAGAGCTGCAAACCCTTAAATTTTTGAGTTTTTGGGTGATCTGGGCAAGATGGGTGAAGTGTCTTGCTCAAGGAAACATTCACGATGCATACACTACCAAATCTGGCCCTCAGACTAAACGTTTCTTGGTCTTTCTTCTTCTAGGTGAATGGACCATGTACCTTAAGCACTATTTTTTTACCGAAACTCTTTAAAAATCTAAATCTGTTTACGTTTTTCACACTTTTTTTTTGCTACCTTCATATGCGTGTGTCCATTCATATTTTTGATAACTTCAGTGAGAATCTAAAATGTAAAAAGTGATGGAAATAAAGAAAAATATTAGATGTAAAAGTGCGTCTTAACTTTTTACTGGTAGAGTTGCAGGAATTTAGGAGAGCCCCCTGATAATAAATCCGAACCGTTCCATAACTAGACCATAACTAACAGTAGTGCTGCAAAACCCTGGCAGCAGATCTGAGAGGGCTTTGGCTCAGTACATTTGGACGGAGTTGGCAGAGTCAGAGGAACAAATCATCTCACAGCACTCCAGCAGAACCCAACCTGCTACAACAATAATATGCAGACTTATGAACCAGATATTAACTAGACTTATGAACTGGATACTAGGATTTGAATTTTAAGGTCCTATATTACGCAAAATTTAGCTTTAATTGTGAGTTTAAAGCCATGTTACCTCATCAACACCATACCTGGAGTTGTGTTTTGTTTTGTTTCATTCCCATTCGCTTATAAACTCATCGTGGTGAATAACTAGGATGCTCTGAATGCTGCTTGCAAACTGTTGCTCTAGTTCTATTTTTCAAGTTTTTAAAGACTCAGGTGTATATAAATCAGGTAGAACGTCTTTAACTCAGCCTTTAAGTGCTCTGTCCCACCACAGACTGTTTAAAGAAGTGGAATAAAGGAGCATGAGGCCACCCATGGCGTTTGAACAAATCCCAAATCCCAGGATCATATAGAGCAGGTTAATACGAACATTTTAGGACCAAAAAGATGAGCCTGAAACCAGCAGTTACAGACAGGGAAGAGGTGATTTTTCTTTCTTTCTTTCTTTCTTTTAAACATATTTTATTCAGTTTTCAACATTTTGACACAACACAGAAAGACAGAGCAGAGCAGTCTGAGCACATATTTGAGTTTTTCTCAATACATAAACACATAAATCCCAATTAAGCAAAACACACTAACATAGTCAAACAGGCAAACCAACAGCCCACCAGCACTGAGCCTGTACCTCTCTGTAAAATGGGCAAGTACCGTATTTTTCGGACTATAAATCGCACTTATTTTCATAGTTTGGGTGGTCCTGCGACTTATACTCTGGTGTGACTTACTGTATATATTATATTTTTCACACTGAAGCTGCGAGAGGGCGCTCTAGTAATCGAGCAGCAGAAAGAAAGTTTGGAGTGAACGAGAAACTTGTGATCGAGAACTTGTGATCGAGAGGATGTGCCATCCAACTTTCCTGAAGTCACTGGATGGATGGACAAAGCCTGGACTTCAGTGACACCAAAACCATCCTGTCGGGATTCAGAAAGGCCGGAATAATTCTAACTGGAACTGATGCTGAGTCTGACGACAGCGACACAGAAGAGGAAGCGGCGCTCTGTTTACCTCCGGAGGTCGCGGAGTTGCTCAGAAGTGACACCGAGGATGAAGAATTGAATGGATTTAGTGATTTGGAGTGAGATGGAGAGTTTGGTAAACTTGTTCTGTTCTGTTGTTTATGTTATAGTTTATCTGAAGAACTGTTCATATGTGACGTTAACAGTCTGTTGTTCTCTCTTCTATTGTTATTACTAAAACTTGACTTTACACAGGAAATGTCAGCTCCTGGTCTCTGATTTTATCAAATAAATTTCCCCCAAAAAGTGCGACTTATATGTTCTTTTATTCTTCATTACACATTTTTTGGCTGGTGCGACTTACACTCCAGAGCAACTTATAGTCCGACAAATACGGTACATTGGAATAGTTGTCCCCTCTCTCTGTTACAGCTAATGTGAACCTTGTCAATTTGGTCTTAAAATGTTCATATTAACCTGCTCTACACGATCCTATTTCCCTATTTTGTCCATTAAAAAAAATCCTATTAAAACATAGAGCCCGGCTCCGAATACGTCCCTGTATCCGTGAGCATCACAAGCTTCATGTGAGCGTCTCTGAACACTGTGGGTGACGTCACACTCGCTTAGTGCACTTTTATATACAGTCTGTGCATGAGTCTGTGCTGGCAAATTGCCTAATTGACACGTTCGTTCAAGCGTCATTACACTAAGGAAACGAGAACAGTCAGTAGAGAGCGATAGAAGCCTTCTGACATTCAGTCTCTTTGGTAGAGAGAGGGAGACGAGGAAAACAAACAAGCAAACAGAAATTATCATGTCTGGAAAAAGTTATCAAGCTTGTTAAAAGTTATCGTGCGATTGATTGATTTATTGATTATCGTTACAGGCCTAGTGAATCCATGTATCATTCGTTCATTCGTTTTTCAATATAAAACCAAAAGTAACAAAATGAAAAAACAACTATTTTCTTCATTATTTGTCTCCAAAACCAAAATGAAAAAACGGTAACGATTCGTTTGCTGGACTGGACTTTTGCACCGCATATGGACTGAAACAGGATTGAAACAGGACTAACCCAGGACTAAACTGTTTTCAGTCCTGGTCTCATTCCCTGTCTGGTTCCGGTCTGGTGCCGGACCTGGTTTAATCCCGGTTTGGTCCTGGTTTAATTCTGATTTAGTCCTGGTTCAGTCTGTTTGCAGCGCAAAAATACGGCATCACAGTTTACGTCATGAAAACGGGCTGTTAAAACGAATCATTATCCATTTTTTCATTTTGGTTTTAGAGACAAATAATGAAGAAAATTGTTGTTTTTTCATTTTCTTATTTTTGGTTTTATAATGAAAAACGAATGAACGAATGATACACGGATTCTAGTATTACTTCCTATTTATAAAGCATCTCTGAGTGAGCCCAATGTATTATAATTATTTTATTATTATGAAAATGAAGACCCGTTTTGCTCATTAAATGTTTTCCCCCCAACTCATATACTTCAGTTTGCAAGTTATACTGTATATAATGATTTAAACTTTTTACAGTTCGGGCCTCTTCAGTGAGTAATAGTTGAACAGTTTGAGTTGCAGTTTTCAAAGCCCTGGGTCGTAAATATGAGTGGTGCTTTGTGCAGAGGCAGCACTCCCACAGCAGAGCCACATCAGCAGCCTGAGCAGCCTCCCTCCAGGACCTGCTTCAACTCCAGCTCTGGGTCCAACTAAGACTGCATCTCAGATATCGCCCGTCGCTATAGATCCATCCCCATGAATGTTTGTATATGCAGGTTTGAAATAAATATTCAAACTCACTACACTACAAAAAAAGCTTGGCCAAAATTTAAGATATGAACATTTAAATCTATCAGAAAATGACCTAAAAGTAGTGAAATGTTCTGTCCACGTTTCACTTGACAAGTTATCTTAAAATAAACTACTTCTAGATTAGAATTTAGCAGTTTCAGAACTAGTAAGTAGAGAATAAATTAGAAAACAAGATGAATATCCTGATATACGTTTTAAATTCTTGGCCAGATCAGAGAAATTTGGAGTGTAACTATATTGGTGGATTTTAGATGACTTCACAGCATTCTATAGGACAATATTACCATATTTTTCAGACTATAAGTTGCTCCAGAGTATAAGTCGCACCAGCCAAAATATGCATAATGAAGAAGAAAAGAAACATATATAAGTTGCACCAGACTATAACTCACATTTTTTGGGGGAAATTTATTGTATAAAATCAGAGACCAGGAACCGACATTTCCTGTGTAAAGTCAAGTTCTAGTAAAAACAATAGAAGAGAGAACAACAGACTGTTGACGTCACATATGAACAGTTCTTCAAATAATTATAACATAAACAACAGAACAGAACAAGTTTACCAAACTCTCCATCTCACTCCAAATCACTAAATCCATTCAATTCTTCATCCTCGGTGTCACTTCTGAGCAACTCCGCGACCTCCGGAGGTAAACAGAGCGCCTCTTCCTCTTCTGTGTAGCTGTTGTCAGACTCAGCATCAGTTCCAGTTAGAATTATTCCGGCCTTTCTGAATCCCGACAGGATGGTTTTCAGTGTCACTGAAGTCCAGGCTTTGTCCATCCATCCAGTGACTTCAGGAAAGTTTCATGGTGCATCCTCCCGATGTCACAAGTTTCTCGCTCACTCCAAACTTTCTTTCTGTTGCTCGATTACCATATTCGGCTGAATATTTCGCGACTTGCATCTTGTAATCTGCAAAATCTGATTTTCTTTTTGGGGGCATTTGTGTTCAATCTTCTCAGTCGTCTTTATAAGTTTGTTTAAATTTTAAATTTTCCGTGGTACAGAAGTAATGGTGCGATCGACTGACACGATACAGACAGAACAGAGGCTCTTTCTGCAGGAGACATGTGCAGTAGCGTCAAGTGACAGTGGTACAGGAGGAACAGGAGCAGCAGATACTGACACTCAAGACTAGAACTTCTCGACGCTTCAGTGTGAACATTTTAATATATAAGTCGCACCTGAGTATAAGTTGCATGACCACCCAAACCATGAAAAAAGTGCGACTTATAGTCCGAAAAATACAGCAATTAATACAGACGGAGGGCAGCAAAAATTCTTTTCAGGATTGTTCCGGTAGCGATGCTGGTATCAGCAAAAGCTCCGATACTGCACATTTTTTTCAGGTATCGGTATCGGCGAGTACTCAGCCCAAACCACTGATCTGGTACTACTCTGTATTTATCCCAATGAGTCTGTAGATGAGCAGATGAGCCCAGAGCGAGTTAAATAAAGTGTGGAGGCTCTGCAGACTCTTAAAACATGCTGATAATTACAGAAAAGACATTTGTGTTTCCTCTTTGATACCGTCATTTAGCCTTTGGTGTGGACACTGAACTTAGTAAAAAGAATTGCACTTCAGAGAGTGCAGCCCGACAACAGCGGCAAAAGTAGCGAGTTAGAAAAGTATAAGTGCTTAAATCAGCACTACTTATGGTCATTATATATTTGACTCTTAACACTTAGTTCTCGAAATATAATTTATTCTTTTAGATTTTCTTTAGAGATAGACTTTTAGTAGATTTATTTATAGCTCTTGTACTGTAACGAAACTGAGTAGCTTTAGTCTACTTCTTTACACTATGTGGTATCGGACTGGTATCGGCATCAGCGAGTACACCAAGGCCAAGTATCGGATCGGATCCCAATTTTTTTTTTTTTTAAATCGGAACAACAGTAATTAATATGGTTGAAATGCAAAAATATGTTGTAATTTCTTGGGTTCTTGGGTTTAGTCAAGAATTGAAAATACCAGGTTCAACAATTGTGAGTTTAGCTTTTGGATATTTTTATTTATTTATTTATGTATTTATTTACTTATTTATTTATTATTTTATTTTTCTATTTATGTTTTGTTTTATCTATTTTATTTTTTTAGTACTACTTTCATTTATTGCTTTATGTATTCACTGATTTTATTATTATTCTTTTATCTATTGAGTGTTTTAGCTCCTTTTGTTTGTAACATAATTCTGCTGATTTTTTACAGCTAAATATTGCTGTGTGAAGCCTTTGGAAGCTGTCTTCTTTATAAAATGTGCTATTCAAATAAAGTTGGACTGAACTGGATCATTGAATTGGGTTCAACAGCTTTATAAATGAAACTTTTACTTTTTTCCTAATACTTTCTGCTGTATTAAATTGTTGCATCTAATGGATCTACACCTTTAAAAACTGCTTCGGTGATTTGTGAGTAATGGTTAAAAATATAAAATGCCAAATGATGTAATTATGGACCTGAAAAATACCAGATACATAAAAAGCGGAAGAAAGTCCATTTCATTGCAATTTTCTTTATACTTTACACTCTAAAAACCTTTAATAACTGCACAATTACTACTAATGGGCTGAGACTGAAATGTTAGCGTAGGGTAGTATAGTAAGAACTGTATGGTTACATCCCTACACTGAATCCCTACTACAAATCTGCTTCTGGTTAAAGCTCTACAGTGTAACTTTTAGCCAAACAATAGACAAAAATGAAAGCATGTTTTGTTTTACATGTATTATTGCACTAAAAACAAGATAAAACCTACACCCTTACCTTGAGCGGACTTGTATCTCCACAAACCTGAGGATTATTTGACCTGGAGAATTAAGGATACCGATATCAATACTTTTACTTTATCTGCCGAAATGCCGATACCTGATGCTCGCCGATACCAGTGTAGGGACAGAAAATGGCACTTATTTGCTTAAAAACTGTTAACTCATTACACAAGAGCCCCAGTTGCATTATGTAACTGTTATTTATCCTTCACATCGCTACTCAACAGCTTTGTATGAATAAAAGTTCACTTTAAAAGTTTAAAATCTTATTACATCGAATTAAAAGGATTTTTTTTGGTCAGTATAAGCGCTATATTCTACACCAGGGGAGCCCAAAACGTCGATCGCAATCTACCAATTGATCGCCGAGGTAGGGTGGGTCAAGCGTAGTGTTGTAAAACTCGAGACCATTTTTTTACGGTCTTGGTCTCATCTCGGACTTGATGGCATTTGGACTTGACCGTGTTTGGACTCGACCGTGTTTGGACTCGACTGCGTTTGGACTTGGTCTTGTCTCGGACTCGAGGTCAGAAACTCGACAAGTGCGATCACATTTCATCACGGCCGCTGTTGTTGACAATAAATTTGTACCGGTGTGCGAGAGAGTGTGCGGGGCGTGTCACTGCAGCCTGTGCGCTAATCTGGAGCCTGCGGACTCTGCACGACACGTCACAAACAAACACGCCCGCAGCACATGTCTTCTCCGCAGCAGCGTGTACCCTCGTGTATAAGTGTATATCACAGGGCAGGTTAAATGTCTTTCTGACTTTTCTTGGTTTCTTGGTTTGGGCACGGGTTAAAGGTTTCTTTTTGGGTTTAAAAACATCTCCACAGAAAGGAAAAAAAAAAAAAAAACTCTAAACTTTAATTTGGTTTCCTTGTCCTTTTAATATGTTGGGACTCATCTTCCTGGGTCGTAACAAACATCCTACCTGTCCACCTGCCTCACATCAGCGCGCCGCTCCTCGCCTTTTCACGCTCTCCTCCCCGCATATAGCGCACACAGGATCCTCCTCAATGCGCGTTGATTAGAAGGGCAAGACGAAACACGAAGCAAAAACTAATCTAAATTTATGTTACAGTGTTGGCACAAAGCAGACCTACAGCACAGAACAGATCTACCGCGAGATGTGGATGAAGTGTGCCTAATAAAAGTGTACAAATGTATCTGTATTTGTCACGAGGTCCGTTTGGTTTGGTGATTGTCAATATATCTATAAATAAAAGATTTGCATTTTTGTAGTAGGTAGTTCATTTTGACTTGGTCATTTTTTAAGTAGCTCGCATGCTGAAAAAGTGTGGACACCCCTGTTCTACAACAATATCGCTACTGGTGGATCTCTGGTAAAAACTGTATACTGCTACTTCCTCAAACAGCTGTTAGCCCATGCCCTGATAGTGACCATGAGCCTGTGTGTGCGTGTGTGTGTGCGTGTGTGTGTGTGTGTGTGACTGACCTCCAGGATGTGGTTGAACTGGGCCTTGAGTTCGAAGTACGGTTTGGACTTGAGGATGACCTTCTTGAGGGCCTTCTGCAGAGTCTGGACCCTGGCCTCAGCCTCCTGACACAACTGAGTGACCCTCTGGTGCTCCCTCTCACTGCGGAGACGCTCCTCCTCGGCCTCGTTCACCTGCACACACACACAGACACACACACACACAGACACACACATACATCAGATTTAATTATTGAGCTGATTATTCTAGTTATCTGATTTTAATGGCCCTGTAAAGTTCCAAAGCTCTTTAGGGGTGAATTAAAGTGACACAAAGTTGTTTTTTTAAACCTTAAATATCTCTCTCTGATCTGAAAACTGTCACTAATTAAACCCCAGCACCTGCACCAATCCTGAATCAGTGCTAGTGCAGCCTCTGCAGCTCAGGGAGGCAATTCTGGAGGTTCTGAGCTTTCACATGAGGCCTGTCCAGATATTGAAAGTTGTAACTGTATTTTATTATTTTTTTTTAAATATATTAATGCTGGTTTTCAAATGACTTTACAACCTTCTATAGGTTAGGGGTCTCCAACCTTTTTCCACCGGTGAGCTCCTTTATAAAACGAAAATGCCAGAGAGCTGCTCATTTTAGCAGTCACAAGAAACTGACTATAAAAGAGCCACGGCGTTAGATGAGGTACAGTTAGACACGTATCAAACATAAACCATTATCCATTTATTAGTGCACGAAGTCAGGCATCAAAATGATGCATGTACAATAGTAAAAGCATTTAATTAATAAAATTTTACTTTTTCAGCACATAAGTCCTTTGACGAGCTACTTGGAAGAGGGGAGCTGCCGGTAGCTCCCGAGCAACAGGTTGAAGACCCCTGCTATGGGTGAATCATATTTAATACAGATGGGGACAGCTAAAATGAATACTGTTATAATACCATGAGTTCTAGAATAAAAAATAAATTTATTCTATCACTGTTATTATCATTATTTTGTCTTGTCTGCAAACTGGTTATGCCTTTTGTCTCACCATTTGAATTTGTATGTAGTGTTATTAATGTTTTGGACCTATAATCTTGCATTTAAAAATGTTTTAAATAAATAAATAATACAGTGAGTTCTTTGGTCTTGTCTGTTGGTGGGTTTCAGATGACATCTCTACATTCTATAGCCCAATATTATTTGATAAAGATGGGGGTAAGGCTGGGAAATTAAATTTGAATTTTGATCACGATTTGGATTAGTGTGTCAAACGATCTCCAAACTCATATAATCGAGTTGAAACGAATTGCGTGCTGGCGAAAGTGAGGACTGGGGCACAACGACCGTAGTTTTACGAGGATTCACTGCAAGAACTTGGTGACCTATGTGCTGTGTGTAATGTGTGTAATGGAAGCTACAGTAATGATTATAACCATAAACAGAGGAGCACGTATTGCAACAAGACTCATATCTGCCTCACTATTTAATAGACATGTAAACAAACAGCACTGTTTTTATTAGTTTACGGCATGTCTTAATGGACAACTTACAAATTCCCGACGTTTCAGCCTATGGCTTTCCTCAGGGGACAAACAGAATTGAGAGAAAATCATGTGAATTAAATACAAAAAAAAAACACCAATAGGGCTGCTCCACCTGGAAGAGGAGGGGTGGAGACTCACCTGTGGACATCACCTAATAACGCCACAAGATGGTAGTGTTAAAACAGTAGGACATCATAGGGAATATAAAAGCTTATTATTTACAAAAATATAAAATGTATACAGAATATACCATGCAGTTATAAAAATATAATATAACTGCAGGAAAGCCATAGGCTGAAACGCGTCGGGACTTTGTAAGTTGTCCAATAAGACATGCCGTAAACTAATAAAGGCATTTTATTTTGAACCAGTGAGTGCCTTGGGTTTTTTGCATCTTTGTACTGACTTCCCTTCTCAAAGAGCACCACTGAGTTGGATCTACTGTGTATTATCCTCTGGAGGTCCAGGAAGCGCTTCTTCTGAAACATTTTATAAACAGCACTGTTTATTTAATTTTTTAAATATAGAGATTGTAGAACAGCTGGATATATAGTTTATTTTGGATACATTTAAACCTTATTTCATGTTCAAAGTATATTTTATTCATTTTATGTTTTATACATCACAAAACTGTTCTAAGGTACTCAGTTGTAGCCTGAATTTATTTTTAATTGGAAAGTTTTGTGTAAATTATCAATAACAAAGTGTTTTTTTTTGTTTTGTTTTTTTGGACAGAGAGCAAAATTCTGAATAAATGCATCATGTAACTAAAAATAATTGTTTGAATAATCGTTTTTTCAGTAATGACCAAAATAATCATGACAATAATTTTTCCCTTAATCAAGCAGCCATAGATGGGAGGATGTTTTTAAAATTAATACTGTTCAACTGCAGATTTTTTTTTGCAGTACAGCATGGGCTTGGGTCTAGTCAATAATAGAAATGATCAGGTTTTATATTTGGGAATTTACTTTTCTTACTACTTTTTTATATTTTCTGGCAAAGTACAATGTAATCAATAGGAGGGGTTCAGTCACGTGATCACGATGACGCGCAAATTTCAGGCGGAGGGCAGGAAGTGAAGACAAACACGACAAACACGGCTCTGGAGAACACAGATATGGAGAAGAGTTCTTATTGTAAGGATTTAGAGCCAGTAGCAAGGCAAAAGTACGAGCAGTTAGTCAACAAATATATTGGACGTGACCCTGATCTTATTGAAAATGAGAGAGTTTTCGACCGAAGTAAAAGATTTGCCGACAATTGAGGCAGAGGAGATCACGAACTATTTAGCTCTTCAGACATCGTTCTACACCAGACAACAGATGAAGGCGTACAAAAGTTTGGAGGGATATAACTTTTTTTGTCAGTGGATGGGTCCACAACCTTGGTGCAAAACGCCTAAATGATGATTATCGTTTGGTCGAGTGTTTCTCTTATTTTATGTGTATAGACCGTTATGGAAAAAACTGCAGTGTATCGGCAGTAACGTCTATCCAAACTATTTAATGTCAACAAACGTCGTTAGCCGTTAGTCGTTAATGATTCGTTTATGTTTAGGTAAACCACAAAAAACTATTTAGCTTTGTAACAAACCTTTGACGAACTGGTCACTGCAGACACGAGCATTTGCGGATTCTGCTCCTCCCGAAAGCAAAAGTAGGTTTTTAATCCACTTTTTACGGCGTTGTTCTGTCAATTTTTCCCATTTCTGACCTTTGTGGACGACTATCTTCGGTACTCTAAAGAATTGCTTTTCCTTCTTTGGCACAGCCGTAACCTACACAACACATCGGCATTTTCCTCCAGTCAGTTCACTTCCTGCCCTCCATCTGATTTTGTGTGCTGACAAACGTAGCCCTGTGACGTCACGTGAAACCCAGTTATTACGAAAGTCTCTTGTCCCCCACTCTAAAGTCTGACTGAAAACCATCAACACCGGACACATTACTGCGCACTCCCCAAAAAGTGCTCCTGAGATCCAGCTCTGAACATCAGCGAGTATATTTAGCCCCGTTTGGATCACAATGACGGTACTTCATTCCCAAAGTGCTGTTCTTTTCAACTGTCACTGTGATTTCAGGTTGAGAGCGTGAATGTAAAGGTCTGCTGTACTGAGTCACACCGCTCCACCACTGCCCCAAATCTGAACTTTTTCAGGACGATATTTCAACAGAGGGAAGAGTCTGACAAGAAAAACTATCCTCAGCGTGGTTCTTAAACATGAATAGGACACGTCTGGATTTTTATGACTAGTAAGATCGTTTTAATTGTTTTTTAATTAATGTTTAAAAGAAAAGCTACACAAAAATCAAAGTCATCACCTTGGCCTATTGCTCAGATGCTACACTCCCATTAACATATTTTAAGGTAGGAATAAGAGGTGCAACTTCTAAACGTAAACATAAAATAATGCGCAAATAATTTCCCTTGTGGATCCATAAAGTTTGTCTAAGTCTAAAAAAAATCGCCTTTGAACTCTACCAGACGAGCTCAGGCTGCTGTTGTCTTTTATTGTGATGTATTTTTAAATGCGTTTAATGTGTCTCTCTTATGATGAATGTTGTGCGTCTATCTATCTTTGTATCTATCTGTCTTTCTTTCTATCTGTCCATTTGCATTTGTAGTTTAGCGTTTGTCTTGATAAATCGCCCTGAGTTCAGTCACAATGACAGAAAACCTGCTTTAAAGGTAATAAAAGATCATTTTTGCAAGTTGTAGCTGTTTCTGATTGATATATTTATGTGCGATAGAGACCCAACCTCACCTCACCTCACCCACCTCAGATCTCGACGTGGAGGAGCAGCGACTCTACTCTGAGCTCCTCACCCTACTTTTAAAGGAGCACCAATCTGGTCCTTTTGGTCGTTACACAAAGATCAAGATCAGAGGTGAAGGTAAAACCAGAGATTAGACAAAAGATAGTTATGTCTATTTATATCTAGAGTTTATCATCTATTCTAATCCAGGACTAAACCAGGAGTAAAACAGGACTAAGCCAAGACAAAACCAGGAATAAACCAGAACTAAAACAGGAATCAACCAGGACTAAACCAGAACAAAACCAGGACTAAACAGGACTAAACAGGACTAAAACCAGGACTAAACCAGAACTAAACAGGAAACAGAAAACAGGACTAAACAGGACTAAACCAGGACAAAACCAGGACTAAACCAGAACTAAAACAGGAATCAAATAGGACTAAACCAGTACAAAACCAGGACTAAACCAGGACTAAAACAGGACTAAACCAGGACAAAACCAGGACTAAACCAGGACAAAACCAGAACTAAACCAGAACTAAAACAGGAATCAACCAGGACTAAACCAGAACAAAACCAGGACTGAACCAGGACTAAAACAGGACTAAACCAGGGGTAAAACAGGACTAAACCAGGACTAAACCAAGACTAAACCAAGACTAAACCAGGACTAAACCATGACTAAACCAGGACTAAACCAGGGGTAAAACAGGACTAAACCAGGACTAAACCAGAACTAAACCAAGACTAAACCAGGGGTAAAACAAGGCTAAACCAGGACTAAACCAGGACAAAACCAGGACTAAACCAGAATTAAACCAGGATTAAAACAGAACTAAACCAGGACTAAAAAAGGCCTCAACCAGGACTAAACCAGAACTAAATCAGGA